AATGTGAGTTCCTTGAAGACAGGAACTGTTTCTGCTTTTTCTATACATAGCATGACTGCCTCCTCCCCCCTTCTTAATGCTCCTTAAATCATTTCCCCAATTTATGCTAGCAGGTTGGGTCATCAAAGGGGTTTTTTGTGGTACAATGAAAGACATTTACTTCAAGCAGTTGGCAACTCTTCAACTGTGGGCTTCAAAGTCCTTTTTCTTTCTCAGGAATTGTCCTCACAAAGTTCATTGATGGGCATGGCATCTGTGTTGAACTGGTGTCTGTTGTTAGTCTTTGCTGCTTTGATACAAGGCTCTGTGGCTAAGCTAAGAAACACCACCCTTGGCCCAGGATTTCCCAAAGCTTTTCCAGTTTTGGAACCATGGCTAGGCTCTGAGAGATTTCCCTCTTTAGTGCAGAAAGTGGCAGTACAGAGGGGTATATAACTCCTGTTCAACTAGGTTCTGAGATTGTCTTTGACTACCCTTCTTGTTTTCAGGGGCTGAGTCAAACCTTCAACAAGAGACCTCACTCTAACTCTCTCTATAGGCCATAACTAAACAATGGCTATTTATTTGACAATAGCAACGTAGTTCTGCAGTCCAGGTTTCCCAGTTTTTATTTCCAAATTTTCCTGCTGGTCTTATGCAGATGAACATCTGGAACACAAGGCATTGAGGTAATCTTTGCCTTGGGTAAGTGATTCATTTCTGGACAGTTGCTCTCTTAAGTATTTTTCATATGAAAATTTCACATTTCTTTTTGCCTCATTTTGTTTTTGTATATCCCCAGAACTTAGCACTGTGCAGGGAACATAGTAAGTACTTAATAAATACTTGTAGATTGATAGAAGTTCCCTTAAGTGCCCTACGTAGGCAGTAACTCCTAAGAGATCATGGAATCTATTCTTACAATATCCTCACCATGATTGATTACCACCGTAATTGTGAGCCACATAGAGGTTCTTCCACCCACCTCTTCTACCCACATTTCAGCAAGATTGTCCTTTTATTTGGTGGTCTTTCCCAAAACTCCTGGTGGAAATTGGTTATCCTGGTGAACCTGCTGGGTGGTCTCTGGCATGAGTATATGAACATGGGCTCTGTAATACTTGTACTAACTGATTAAATATGCTATAGCTTCCTTTTTTTTTTTTTACTGGGAACCAGACAATGTAATAGCACAGCAACTAGCCAATCAGCAGGACTTCTGATGCCCCAGGCTACTTGACATACCAGTGATCCTTTGTGAAATAAACTTTAGCTGAACACAGATATGCCTGCAACTGCTGAAACCAGCACTGACCAGCTCAAAGAAAAAAGCAAACATCTTGGTTTCTGACTTATAAGTCAGAAGGGGAAGCATACATCTTGGCTCCTGACTTATCTAAAGAGCAGCAAAATCCTGCTTTCTGATTCATTGTATTTACAGATATCTTTTCCCTAGACCCCCATTTCCTACCTGACTTCCCAATTTATTATGTTTCTCCCTTAATCCTAACTTAGCTATGTATAAATACCTTATCCTTTCCAACTCCCTTCTGAGCAGATGTGAACCTTGTTTCACTGTTCCAGCTTGTAAGTTTCTTCTTCTCAGGCAATAAATACATTTATAATCTTTGCAAACTGTGATCAGACTTTGGTCCATTACGAGTCACAGGGGTTTTTATTTTAACAAGTATAACATGGCTGATGGTGTCCAGCAGAGCCTTATGTATTTGGTAACTTACCCCCACCCACCCGTTCAGCCTACTATGATTTAGGCATATGGCCTCTGTTTTAGTTCTATGGTTAGAACATTGGAGTTCACCTTAGGAGAAATCATACCAGAAGTCCCTGAAGTTTGGATATAGGAATTTGGATAGCTTGGGACTTGCAAGAAACTTTAGGGAATGCTTTAAGGACAGATGGGGCTTACTGCCCTGATTCTGGATGTATTACAGTACTAGCACTCCCATAGGTTGGTGATTGATCTTATCAACCTTATATTTCAGAAGCTAAATCCCATGATCCTTAAGGGGAGGGGTATTATCAACCTCTGCCCACCACCAAGTGGGGTGGTGGGCCTTTACCATCATTTTTGGAGACAGCTGACTCTGGCTGTCCCAACATCCTGCTTGGATTTTACTAGTTGGTCCAACAATACCACAAAGTTGTGGTACTTTGGTAGGGAAGGCCCTTGGCAAAAGCCTGATACCACTTGGGTGGGGCTTGTGTGGGATGCCACTCAAATTTAAAAAAACACCCTTAGAGGTTTTTCAAGGAGAAGTAGAAAGTTAATTTATTTGCTATTCTCGAGAATAGGGTGTTCTTCCACCAGTATACTCTAATGAGGGGAGACTGAGTACAGGAGCTAAGAACCAGATTAAATAGCCCTAATGGGCAAATCCCCCCTCCCACCAACTGGCCAATGTTTGGCTCACGATCTATGGAAACAGAAAACAAAACAAAGAGAACAACATCCATATCTATATTTAGCCCCTTAGTTTGCTGAAGTAATACCAAAGAAGCAATTAAAGATGTACAGTCAAGCTAGACACTGTACTATATAGCCAGGTCACCATAACTGAAATATAGCAACACGTACAACAAGGGGGGCTTCTTCAGGAGTTTCAGGCTTGACAAACTTTAACTACTGATATAACAATGGCCTAAAAGGGGAGGGGGGGTACTTGGGACTGGACTGCCGTAACTCAGGTGATTTCTAGTAAACCGAAACTTAGGCCTGTCAGGTTGCTACACTTGCCTTGAGTCACAATACAATTTCTATTTATTCTTCTAAAAAGTCTTCACAGTACCCCTCATCCCATTCAGCCTTATCCCAAACTTTAATTACACTGAGGAGTCTTCACTGGAACATCCCATTCAGGCTCCACCTGGAAGATGAGATTTCATGGGTTCTCATGCTGGCTGATAATACTGCAGAGGACTGTGGTGAGGTGGTGTAGAAGCAAATCCAACAAACCAATCTCTTTTTGATTTCTCATGTCCTCCCTTGTAGATCCCTATCAGGGAATCATCTGCAAAAAGAATTCACTCTTACTGGGGCAGGTAAATGCAATCACCAATCTTAGGAACAAAGGACAGTCACCATCTCTAAGTCATTTAATTGACTTTGCAAAAGTGAGTCTTGTGACAAGTCAATGGTACTTTGAAGCCAAAAGAACTTTCACATTCACCCAACTCACTGAACCACATGCTCAACCACCATTATTAGTATTATTTAATATTAATAATAATAAACAACAGCATACATATATATACATATATATACATATATATGTATATATATACAATATATACATAATGTTTTAAAGTTTGCAAAGCACTTTATACACATTTTATCTTCACAACAACCCTGGGAATAATATGCTATTATTATGCACATTGAGGTAGAAGCTGTAGAAAAGGGTGCAGGGGGACTCTGCCCTGTGGCAGTGGAGGAGGCAGGTGAAGCTTTAAAGCTGTAGCCTGAAAGCAGCCGCTGCAACTGCAGATAACTGCAACTGCTGCAGGAAGGCGTTCAGAGCCAAATTCGGTAGAGAGAGTATACTGCCTGACACATAGTTTGTGCTTAATAAATGCTAATCGATTGACTGTATAAAGGACGTTGTTTAAGAAACACTTCAAATAATGGGCGGTATTAGTATTGTAATTATGCCATGGAAGGGACAATAACTTTGTTCAATACAGTGGTGCCTCAATTAGCAAATCATCTGAGAACAAATCTTTTAAAAAGGAAGGCCTTGATTAAGTACTGGGATATAAGGCAAGTTTCAGCCTCAGTGCTCTTTGAGGACTTGCTGGAAGGCCAAGGGCATGAGCCTGAGGGAAGGCATACAATCTCGGTGGTCCAATTTTAGTGTGTGCTGGTGAATCTGAAGTTGGATAAATTCAACCCTTGAAAACTGAAGTATTTTAATTTAACTTCTATTACAGCTTGTGACATGTTCATGAGCAATGTTTTTGGATTTATGTGGACTCTGAAAGAGAATACTGAAGAAGCTTGGTTAATATGAAAAATGGAAAAGTAGCCCCAAATATTCAATTCCTTCTAGTTCTGGATCTTTAGATTACCATAGAGTTGCAAACAGCTAAGAGAGAAAGTTGAGGGGAAAATGTTAAAGATCTCATGTTTTTATTTTGTCTCAGTCTATCTTCACATCATTTCTTTTAAACTTTTCTGCCCTCCAGTTTCCTAGTGAAAAAATGAGGAGTGGGGAGAACAATATGTAGTACTTTTTTAAAGAGACGATTTTCACTCAATAAATTAACTGAATTATTAAAAAGAGCCAAGCTTAAGAAATGATTTTTAAAAGGCAGCCCTTTAATAATTTGAGCAGCATTCATTCCTTAAATCTCTGGGAACCATTTATATTTGGAAAGGATCCATACTGTATGTTTCTTTTTTTATCCCGGGCCTCTACAGGTAAGTTTACCTGTGAGTTTTACAGGTGAGTAACAAGGGGTTGTTTAGACATCCCCTTAAGTCCCTTTCCGCTCTAGATCTATTGATCTTAACGGTTCCTGTGGAACAGGTGAGAAGCTTATAGGTGAGCTGCCAGCTGGGCAAATAGGAAACACTGAGGCGGGGCTAGGCATGTGTAGGGGAAGAACCTGAGCTACTCGTTCTGGAACCTTCTTGCAGTTTCAAGAATTCCTGGCTCCAGTGTAAGTAAGCAGCACTTTGGGGATACTCAAATAGGCCGGATCCTTTGCCCTCCGTTGGCTGGCTGCTCGCTGTTTCTGAAAAAAGAGAGAAAAGTAGAAACTGTGGGAAAGGGTGCTGTGAAACCCAGCCCTGTAGCTGTGGAGGACGCAAGTGAACTTGAAAGCTGAGCTTTGGAAGCAGGCGCCACAACTGCGGCGGGAGCTGCAGCTGCCGCAGGAGTTCAGAGTCAGAGCTGGGCTGCGGCAGCGCGTCTCTACTCCGGGAGCTTCCAGCACGCTCCCGAGGAAGAAGAAAAGAGGGAGGGAGGGAGGGAGTGCGCAGAGAAGGCAGGGAATGCAGAGGGTCGGACCCGAAGCAGGAGCCGGGGGTTTGGTGCTTCTCTTTAGTGCATTATGAGATAAACCATAGCCGGCAAGAAAGTAAAGGAAGTCTCAGCCTGGGGAGAGTCGGAAAGGGCAGCATGTAGCCAGGGACTAGGGAAGGGACGCAGCGGAGAAGAAACAAGGGAAGGAGAGCGAATCCAAACTGAGAGCGAGATGAGCACGGAAGGCAGCACTAACTTCAGGCGGCGGGCAGTCAGGCGGAAGTCCAACCAGTCCTGCCTCCTGGCTGGGACCCCCCGCCCCTGGAGCCGACCCACCGCCTACTCAAGGCCCCCAGACTCGGCCGCCTCAGAGAACGTGCCCAAGGACGCAACAGGTAAGCTTAGCCCTCTGCCAGTGGCCTGTGTGTGGTATGGGAGTGGTGGTGGAGAAGGTGAACCTTAACAAGTGAACTTTAAGCCTTTCCTGTGCCTTTGCTTACGCAGAGGGCGTCCTCCTCGCCTCCATACCTGTCCCAAACTTTCTAGTTTTTCCCACAAAGGACCTTGAACAAAACACTGCCCTTAGAGCCTCCCCTGGAAGGTCATTTAGAAATTCCGGCCCGGAAGTATACTGTATAACTTGAGGGAAAAAAAGTTTAGTGAAAACGTAATGTAATGGAGTCTCCTTTAGAGTTTGTTTCTAGGCCTGGTCCTTTCCTTAAGGCGTAGGATGATGGGCAAGGTATTTCTGATGATTCTCAGTTTGATCTTTTGATCCCTATCATCTGGCCCAGTTAATGGGCAGCATGTGTGAAGAGCTATGGGTCCTTCAGAAGGATTACAGGATTTAGAACTGAAAGGGACTCAAGGGACTGTCTAGTTCATCTCTCTTATTTTACAGGATGGGAAAAATGAGAATCTGAGAGATGAAATGACTTATCCAAGGTCATACAGAGAGAGTAATTCTCAGATCCAGGATTTGCCTCTGATTTGAAAAAAAAATTCTCACAATTTCATATTACGTTTTTTCCTGATTTACCATATCACTTTGCGTTTCTTAATCCTATTAGAGCCTACTTTTTGAGTGCTGGTTTTGCTGATTGATGCTTTGATGAAATTGTATGGAATTTTCCCTTAAGAACCATTGTTAAAATTAGGCCTTTTGATTAAAAAAAACTTAATAGTAGTAAAGGTCAGGCATCCTTGTAGAAGGGCAATCACTTGTTTCAGGAGAAGAACATTCATAAGTTTAGCAAATCTGTTGTAACATGGTAAAATAAATGTTGGAGCTTTTTTAATCTTCCTCTTCCTTTCATCTTCTAGCCTTTCTCCTAAATTTATGGTACAGAGAATACAGAAGTAGGACTTTCCTTATTTACAGTAGCAGAAGAGGTTAGGGTGTGAAGACACAAGAAAAAGATTAAGGAGCTGTATTTTTCATTTTTGGTTTCTGTAAAATGAAGGGCTTGGTGGTGATTTCTAAGGTCGTTTCTAGATCTGACATTTTATGATACTATGATGGTGAAGGGCAGCTAGGTAGGTCAATGGATAGAGTGCTAGGTCTGGGAGTTGGGAAGACTCATCTTCCTGAGTTCAAATTTGGCCTCAGACACTTACTAGCTGTGTGAATCTGGGTAAGTCATTTAACCCTACTTTACCTCACTTTCCTCATCTGTAAACTGAGCTAGAGAAGGAAATAGCAAACCATTCTAGTATCTTTGTCAAGAAAACCCCAAATGGAGTCATAAAGAGTCAGACACAACTGAAAAAATGACAAGAAAAATGATAGTGAAGAATAGTAGAATAGATTTTAGTTTTCTTCACCCCTAGCACCTGTTCTTTCTTTGTATGTTTTTTTGTCTTGGAAAATCCTTTTATCTTTCTGTAACAAGCAAATCTTTCTCTTTTGTTTTCAATAATTTCTTTTATTGTCTGATAATTTTTTGTGCTCCACAACTGATACAAATATTAATTTTTACCTCTAGTTTTTAGATAGTTGATCCATGTAGCACAGTGCTTGCCATAGTAGGGGCTTGCTTAATAAATTGATTGAGTTTCAGTCTAATATAGTAATTACTATGTCGATTTAAAATTATTTTCTACTTATAGTTATCCAGTTTTCCTGTTTTTGTGGAATTCCATTCCACAGTGTGTTTTTTGGAGGAGGAAGTTGGGAAGAGGGATGGGTTTATGGAGGAAGATGATAAATTCTGTTTGCCCTGTTGATTTTAAGATATTTGAAATATCTAATAAACACTTGATGGTGGGTTCTGGAGATTGGGAGAACTATCAGGGATAGAAATACAGATTTAGGAGTCATCAGCATTGAGATGATAAACCCATGGGAACTGATGGGGTAAGTGAGAGTATAGACTAGCAGTCCTCAAACTTTTTGGTCTCAGGACCCTGTTATACTCTTAAAATTTATTGAGGACCCCAGAGAGCTTTTGTTTATGTGGATTATATCTATTGGTATTTACCATATTATAAAAGTGATAAAATTTTAAAAATATGTATTCATTAAAATAATAAGCTGTTATAGGTTAACTTAAATATTATTTTTCATGAAAAGACTATAAACAAAAATTAGTGAGAAAAATGGCATTGTTTTACATTTTTACAAATATCTTTAATGTCTGCCTTAATAGAAGACATATTTAAGATCGATTAGAGTGTGGAGAGCCCTGTTAGGAATTGATTGATTGTATTAGTCCAGAGAAAAGATATCAAACTAAACTAGAGTCGTAGTAACAGTGATTAAAATGGGGTCAGAAACAAGAGTTATATAGGCAGAATCAACAGGGCCTGGTGATCTTATGACATATTGAAGAGAAAGGATTGAGAGTTATCAAAGATGATAGTAGCTTACATTTATATGTCACTTTAAAGCTTATTACTTTCCTCACAATCACTGTTGTGTAGAGATAGGGCTGGTATTGCCTTTGAAGTTTTGAATATAGTACTAGGAAGGATGATGGTATTGATAACAGAATTATAGGAGGAGGTCTTGGGAAAAGATAATTTATTCAGTGTTTAAAATATTAGGTTTGAGGTGTCAATTGTATATATTGATATGTAGCTATCCAATAGGTAGGAATTGGAGATGGAGATTTAGGAGTCATTGCCAAGAAGTGATATATTTTTTTTTTTTACTGTGGAAATAGATACATGCTCCAGGGAAGAAAGTGAAAGAAGTACTAAAGAGTTTCTTTGAATTCCCGTTCATCATTCTCTTAAGAGTACCATTGCTTGTCAGCAGTGTCTCAGTTGTTTCTCTTGTTTCTGTTATGTGTATCTGTGTATGTACATTAAACTGTATTTGTATGATTTGAGAGTATATGTATATTTATATAATATCCCTTCTAGGGCTACTCAAACTCACAGATTGGGTCTCCAGAGGGTGACTGCTATTCTCAGGTTCTAGGGGTAGGCATCATGAATCTTAGTATTATTGCTATTAATAATCAGCCAATGGGCTTAATTAGTTTTTATTAATGGCATTTACCAAGGTGGTATAGCAAGAACAGTTGGCACAAAACATGAACCCTAGAAGCCTGTGTGTAACTCTCCCATTGTACACACAAGCATCGAAAGAATAGCTTCAAACGGTACAATGATAGTACGCTACATTGAGGTATATGTGTAGGGAGATGGCTACATGGTGCAGTGTGTAGAATGTTGGGCTTAGAGTCAGGAAGACCTAAATTCAAATGCTACCTCAGATACCTCTTACCTGAGTGATCCTTCACAGATCACTTATCCTCTCTGTGCCTCAGTTTTCTCTTATTCAAAATGAAAGGGTTGATCTTACTGACCTCTAAGGGCTATTCTAACTTTTATAGATGATCCTTCAATTCTGGAAGATGTGGCAAAAAGATAACACATTTTTTGGTACTGAAAGTATATTCTTGAGACCATAGCTCATACCCCTCTTTGCCATGAGGAGTTACACCAAGGTTGGGGAACCTGCAACCTCGAGGCCACATGTGGCCCTCTAGGTCCTTGGGTGTGGCCTTTTGACTGAGTCCAAGTTTTACAGAACAAATCCTTTTATTAAGGGGATTTGTTCTGTGAAGTTTGGATTCAGTCAAAGGGCTGCACTTGAGGACCTAGAGGGCCACATTGACCTTGAGGCTGCAGGTTCCCCTCCTCTGTTCTAGACTGTCTCCTGACCTTATCATTTAACTAAAACAGTCTTCTTCAAAGTTGCCACTTATTACTTAACTGTATGTGTGTGTGTGTGTGTGTGTGTGTGTGTGTGTGTGTGTGTGTGTGTGTGTGTGTGTGTGTATGTCACCATACAGGTATGGTGACATCTCATGGTTTTCAGACATCCACCACATCAGAGGAACCCTGACCCCACAGTGGTGGGACTTTTATGCCCCTAGGTAAAGTCAAGTCAGCAAATGCTTATTAACTACTGACTACGTACCAGGCACTGTGCCAAGCCCTTTGTCATCTTTGATGACCAGGAAGCTACATCAGCATGGCCAGAGGTCACTAAGAAGCTGTATCAGGAGAGGCACAGCTTGAACCTTACCCCATTCCTAATGAAGCCTTAGCTTTGTCACATTTTCCTAACCTATACTGGTGTGTGTGTGTGTGTGTGTGTGTGTGTGTGTGTGTGTGTGTGTGTGCGCGCACGTGCGCGCACGTGCGTGCATGTGTATGTGTTAACTCTGGTAGATATTAGTTCTATCACAAGAGAAAATAACACTATAGTGAAAAGGGGAGGAAAAGTGTAGTGGTACAAGAATATGATGCAACTTGTTTTCTCATCAATATGTTTGTATACCATTATTAATAATGTAGGTGGCGTGAAGGGATCAATGTACACATCTATTGTTACTAGGGAAAAATAAATGCTTGCATATTTTATAATACTGTGGCAAGTGAGCATTTCAAGTACCTATCTATAACATTCACATTCAATGCTTTTATATTTTAAATCTCTTTATTATATCATAGTAAAAGCAAAAGTAGATTTGAATTATTTAGTCTTATTGTCTAAATGAGCAAAGGGGTAATCAATGCATTTAAATGACTTATTCAAGGTCACACTGAAGGCCGTTGAAAGACCTAATTAATGAATGAATGGGACCAAATTATGATCCACTGCTTAATTCTAAAGCTATTTTGCTATAGTTTTTTTAAAAAAAGTTTTCTTTTAATTTATGGACTAAAACAAGTACTTCTATAACATAATAAAAAGATGATTGTATATGAAACTGCAAATCTATTGGGTACAACTTGCTATTCCTTTTAAAATATATAAGGTTATGTAATTTTTCCCCTTTTTTCCTTCCTTTTCCCCCACTCCCTACCCTAGAGATGGCTATCATTAGACACAAATAAGTATATATATGCAAAATCATATGTATACTTCTGTTTTTCA